TGTCCTAAAACTTCCAGAAGAGGTGTGGACAATTTCTTTAAGCTGAATAAAAAAAAATGAATTTATCCACCAATGGTGTGATCTGACCCTTCTTACACATACCTACCAACACATTTATGAACATATCTCTGGAACTAGAAATCCGATTGCAATAATTTAAAAGTTTCCTGTGGAGCAATTGTATCTTTCATTTGAAATATATATTCTCCAATTCGGTTTAGTGGTTGCTGAGAATCATAAGCTACAATTTATGCGTTTTTGAAGATAATTTTCAGTCTCAAGGCACATACCTACCGGCATATTTTAGAAAATATCTCCGGAACCAGAAATCCGATTTATTAAAATTTTAAAACGTTCTGTGGGAAGATCGTACAAACAATCAATACGAAACTAACGATTTTAAATTGGCTCACTACTTGACTAGCCTATTGGTCCCAAGCAAACGATTAACGTACTCCATTCTAGTCGAAATTCTAGTACTACACAATGTTTGTTTTGATTCGCTATGAAAGATTGACAGATAAAATGAGGGGTTAGTGGATTTTCCTATGTTTCGAGGGGTGAATCGATTAGCTTGGGACCGAAGAGAGTACCAGAGCTGGGCCAAAAAGTTGAGCACATTTCTTTGGGTCCTTCTAGCCTTAGAGTTACTTCTATGATCGTACCTTTCATATTATCTAAGTATTCGAATATTATTTTCCTGTGAAGTAAATCGATTTGTTAGCCTTTTCCAATTGATGTTTTATTTTATTAATCATTTTAAAAATTTTAATCGTTACATTGTTGAAATAATGGAATCAATCTTAATTATTCTCATTGTGGATTTTTGATACTGCCAAAGGAAGAAGATCTTGATTACATCTAATAATCATCAAGTTATTTAACAAGTCAGCGGACATTCGCAGCCGGCGTTCGTCGAGTAGTATTTTAACGGCAGAGAAACAGTGCTCTACCGAAACTTGCGTTGCTGGAGCAGCTAATGCAGTCATAGCCAAATCATATAGCTCGGGGTCTTCGTATCGTTTAGCCTGCCAGTATTGAATGGTGTCCGTATTTATCGGCAATCGCGTTTTCGAATTCGCCAGTTGTAGAAGTTTTAATTTGAGATCCAATTGTGATGTTTCAAACGTAGTTCTAGCTTGACTGCATTCTTCTGCCAACATAGCATCAAATTCGTCTTCATCGTAAGAAGTCACCGAGGTTTCTCCTGTTTCTGTTTCAGGATAACCTTTAGCTTTCAACTTATGAAGAATTGAATCCACTTTGAGCAAATGATCCTGAATACGAATAAATTAAAAAGAAATGCATTGTAGAAACTGCCACAATATTTTTAAGGAAAAATATTATAAGTAATATTATCACAGACAAATAGACGTAACTCTTCATTCTTCGCTATCGATCACGTTTTTGACGAGTTCAAATATTATTTGGTAAGTTCAAATCAGATATACTCCAGGAAGAATTGACGGAGCACTACTATCGGATCACTACATATTCACGCATCTAACTTGTATGAAACATCTTTTGCGATTTCGCATACAAGCTTACAGAGCTTACGAGATGTCGTTACTGAGATCAATAATGATGGTTTAAATGGGAAATTGATCTAAAAGTTATGCCTATTTGTCTATGATATCAATGATACTTACAATGGCAGATAGTTTGTCCTCCTTTGAAAAGAATGGAGAATCCACAAAACACCATCTTTGATCAAAGATCAGTGCGGCCTTGAAAGCTCTATTATTGAACATTTCCTTCATTCTTGAATTCAAAGCGTCAACAATTGGAGTTGCAAATCGATTTTGTCCATTTACCTTCATCTTCATGTCGAATTGACATTTTTTGAACGCCTTGAATGCATCTCCAAACGTAAAGTTTTCTTGTTGAAATGCTTTTGTGGCTGAAAACAGCGGTTCGAATGCCCCTCTGTATTCTTTCATGAAGCTCCATGTTTCATCACTTAGCATGAGTTCAGCGCATTGTTTGCCTACATCTCGGTAAAAGCCTTCATGACTCAAAATACTGTCGATCATGATCTTAGTAGATCCCCATCGCGTCTCACAATCAATTCGTGGCAAAGGAATCTTTACGATATCAAAAAATGTTCTGAATTCCATCTTCCTTGCAGCTTTAACCAATTTACGAACCACTTTAATGAATGCTTCTGATTCATTGTCTAGGACATCTTTGGCCACAAGATTTAGGGTATGAGCTCCACATTTTATTTTCTCAATGCACCCATCGCTTGACTTAACAAATTATTCCTCTAGACCTCGTAGCATCACTTCCATATTTGATTCAGCCTCATCACTTTCATCTTCCGTTTCAGGTTTCTCAACTGATTCCACCTCTTTCTCGAACGATACGTCATCGTCATCTGACAGTAGCATCAAGGATTTATCTTGTTCAACTCGCAAATTGCTAGAACATTTCAGCATGTTTTGACCATTATCAGTTGTGGCCGAGTACACTTTTAAAAGATTTAGGTCATAGCTTTTGAGCACATTTTCAATGTGTTTTTTCAAGTTTTCACCTGTTTGTCTCTCTTTCATTTCCAGCATTGAAAGAGTACGGATAATGAACTGACCATTTTCGAGATACTGTACATTAATTCCAAAGATTTTGCGATTATGACGTGATGCACCGTCGTATTTGAAACAGACCATACGGGACTGAATAGCAGTTGTAATCAGCTCTCTAATTTTATTGGCCACATCCGTAATTGAAGAAACCATTGCCTTGGAATTGGAGGATATTCCAAGGGCCTTAGACATAATACCAGTTGTTTCATGAAAAGCTTCACTATCAAAAAAAATTGAACGGTAGGCTGTGAACTGCGGACATTTTCACCAGTCCGCAAAAGAAATTGTCAGGATCAACTTGTACTGAAATTGTCTTCATCCTTTTTTACCGATGGACCTTCGGATTGTCCAACTTCTGTATTCATCGGCCTTTTGTATCCATCCAAACCGATTTGTTTTGCGACAGCGGGATGTTGTTGAACAACATGGCGCTTTAAGCTGCTATCTGCCCCTTTTAACATGCTGCGGCATCCTTCCACCAAGCACTTAAATAGCTGTGATCCTTCGTCAAATCGGAAAAACTTTTCCTTTACATTGAATTTCGCCATTTTTCCTAATAAAAACACACTGATTGTAAAATTAAAATCACAAAACTAACGTACACCCAACCCTTTTTTACGGGGGTAATTTTTTTTCCATTTTCGGTTTCTGTGGTGAAGTCAGACAATTTATGTAGGTACCATAGTTTTCTTTGGTTTTTTTCGATTTGTTGACGTCAGTTGTATCAAGCTTGGTTTTATTTGAACACCGGAAAAATGGAAAATAAGATCGCTTAAAAAAAGGGCTGGGTGTATTAAAAAAAAATTATGTGAAAAATAGAACCCATAATAATCTAATAAAACATAAAATTTCAAATATTCATCAAGCCTACTCTGTTAGGTATCGGTTGTGAAGCCTAATCTGGTGTTACTTTGTATAGGTGGTGAATGAACGAACAGTTATAGCGACGCGAAATTTGCCATGCTGTTTGTCGTACACGTCTCTATTGACCTTTCTGACGTTTATAACACGCACACTTGTGTAATCCCATTTTGAAGTGGGGAGTTTGTTATCCTCACTTTCGCTTCTGCCAAAAATATTAGTTTGTTATTGTTATCCTTACTATCGGCCATCAATGCTCGCGCATACAGAATGGACTATGGCAATGTTTCCAATTGGAAAACTTCTTCTAGAATACTTTCGGTAGAATACTTTCATGATGAAAACATATGACTGACACAATGCACTCTAACTTTCTCTATTATCGCTATGAAAGCGAATGTTGATAAAAAATTCATATGTTCTCTATACATTTTTTTACCAACGTAATATATCAAAAGCATTAAATTACGTGCAATGCATGTAATTTTAGACCGAGAAATCAAAATAATATTTGATGATTGAGGTAACTGGGAGGTGAGGGACGCCCAGCATATAAAATTATGTCTTACTTACCTTACAAAATGAAAATTAAGGCTCTGGATATTAATTGTAGTTTAATAATAATAAAAAAAATACTGCAGAGTTTCGGTTTAACCACTCCCTGTACCTTCAAACACTCGCTGCACTGTTTTTGTTCTAGACGTTCAAAACACAATGTTCAAACATCATGTACAAACATTGGACGCACCCACATGTATGATACATGTTCGAACACAAGGGTAAAAAGTTTATGTGTAAGTGCAAACATGAAAAGCGCCACACAGCGAAAACACGTTAATCTCGAACACAATGTTGTATGTTCAATACCGAAGACTGGGTCTGCTTGTTTTCCGACAAACGTCAGTTTGATCGTTTGTTTTTAAAACCTACCTCAGGTTGAGGTTCGCACTGACAAAAAGTTCGGTTTCGCATTGGGTTAAAACTGGTTCCATTCGCTATATGGTGCCCTACGTTTTTGCGAATTTTAGTGAACGGAACTCAAATATGAGTCAGATTCAACGGTCGTGTATTCACCTCGAATTGACGCGTGAGGGAAGCATAACTTTCAGGCGTGAACTTTTGACTGTCAATACTAGAACCCTAAATGTATGCTTTCAAAGAACGATTGCGCATTTTGACATCCCCAGCATGTGGTGAGAAACAGATTAACAAATCCGGAATGACTTAAGATTTGGGCATAATTACTTTTTTAAACAAACACACGTCAATAAAGGCTTGAACAAAGTATACCAAATGATAAAGAAATCATTCCTATACTAGAGTGTGTTATACATTTTAGAATACCTTGTTAATAAGTCCACTCAAGCATAGGATAAAGCATAGTCCACTTATGCATTCAACATAATTAGCATAAGCGTTTTTTTTTTGGCCTCCTAGAGAGACGCATACGTTTGAAAAGTCAAAAACCCCACAAAAGGCTGCAACAGAACCCAATTGAGCAGGTAGTTCGGATCGAAATGACTGTCCACACCAGTGCAGCTGCATCTCTAAAGACATAATATATATTCCAATGTAAGGAGGAAAAATGGACAATTATTCAGAGCGAACTTACTTGCAACTTTGTTATCAATGGGAACGTCGAGACTTACGATACTTGTACGAGATTTTGGTGCAACTTGTTGACGGTCGTCTTCACCGTTTGATACAGAACCTCGTCCTGATCGCATGTCACTTCCTGTTTGGCATGGGAAAATGCTCTCTATTAGACAAAAAAACTTCTTCCGACTAATCGAACAAAACTCTTACCAAAGTATTCAAATTGATGTCCACCTGCTTCCCGTGCACGGTCACACTCAAACTATCTCCCTTGAACAGCTTCGGGACGGAGCTCGCGCCGAACATCTCCTGCAGCGTTTCGATCAGACACTCCTTGAAGTGCATCTTATCCGGCTTGACAGCAGTGGCCGCCTTCACCATGCTGCCGCTCAGCTCCGACTGCAGCAAACTGGCCAGAACCGTGTCGGCGTACATGTCATTAACCGGTGTTGCCTGCCATTCCATGACGGCGATCTTCCCATCGAACGACAGGTCGATGCATTCAAATACTCGAAACTTTTTATCACCATCCGCCGCTTCGGAGCTGACCGTTCCGGGACCACCGATTCGCTCCAACAGCAGCCTCAAGCTAGCGATCGAGCCCTGCCAGTAGAGACTCTGCCGCTGGGTCACCACCGACATGCTCATGTCGGTGTATTCTAAGGAATTAAAAAAAATGCGTTGAAACGTAGTTGGAGACGTAGAAATCCGAATACTTACTCGACAGATCGGACGCCGCCAGCAGGTGATACTTGAAGTCCCGCTTCACCAAAACCCCGGACAGCTTATGGCTCTCTTCGGGGCTCTTAACTGCCAGATTGCCCATCACCTTGGCCGTCTTCTCGCCCCGGAAGTACAACTCCACAGCGTGTGTATTCTTCGGATTGTACAACGTTATATTGGCATTCGGATCGTTTTCGTACTCCCTCTGAAGTGCTGATTTCAATCGATTCATTTCGTTCTGTTCCCCATGCACCAGAATGACGTGTGTCGGTTTCAATATCCGAATGAATTCACTGGTCTGCTGGTAATCGGTGTGAGCCGAAAACGAAATATAATCGACGGACATGTTGAGCGGGATCTTCTGTCCGGACATGCTGGTGATTTCCTCCGGCTCGGAGAGAACAGTCTTCGCGAGAGTTCCCTCGACGCAATAACCGGCGATGATGACCCCGTTCTTCGGATCGGTACACCAAGTCTCGAATAGTTCCCGGGACAGACCACTCTGCATCATACCGGGCGAGGCCATCACGACACACGGTCCGATGTCCTCGAAATGATCGATGCCCTTCAGGTTCGAAATGTGACGGAATACAAACGGATTGTTGACGGCAATTTGCCTCCGAATTTTGTCGTTCATCGCGTTGATATACGTCTGGTAGACGGCCATACACTTTTTCGCCAGCGACGAAGCATAGTAGATGGGAATTTCCTGCAGCTCCGGATTCTGGCTCCAGTATTCGTCCAAAATCAGCAGCAATTCTTGGGCCCTCCCAAGAGCGAACACCGGAATCAAACACCGACCACCCTGCTGGACAATCTTCTGAATTAGAGTGGTGAATCGGCTTTCTCGATCCTCCCGCTTCTCGTGAATATGCGTCCCATAAGTAGATTCCGTTATCAAAACATCCGGCTTCATGGCCGGAATCTCCGCCGCCATCAAGTGACGATCTTCCTGCCGGGAAAAATCCCCCGTATACAGAATCTTAACCCCTGCTATCTCAATCATAAACATCGCTGCACCCAGCACATGCCCCGCATTGTACGCCCAAAACCGCACTCCCATCACGTCCCGCTCCTCGTGGAAATTTATCGTCTCAATCTTCTCCATACTCGCCTCCAGATCCGTTTCCGAGTACAACATTTGCTCCGTACTGATGTTGCTAACCTTGATGTAATCCGACAACATCCACCGGTAGATTGCTTTCGTAGCATGGGTCATGAAACACCGTCCCTTGAAACTCGTCTTCTGCAGGAACCACGGCAGCGCCCCGCAATGGTCCAGATGAAAGTGCGAAATGAAGAGCAGATCCACCTCGTCCGCTTCGATCAGATCCACGAACGGCAACGCATCCATCCCGGACAAGCCCGGATGGATGCCGCAGTCCAGCATGATCTTCTTGCCCTTGAACTCGAGCATGATGCACGAACGGCCCACCTCCTGACCGGCACCACTGGAAAGGGGAAAAAATATGGAATCCAACGTCGCTCAGTGGATATGCAATTAAATAGAACTTACAGCGGCCGTATGAGCAGCAAGTCGTTTTCTTCGGCCGGAACCTGACCGTCAGCTTTCCGTTTGTGAGCCATGGTCTAAATGTAAGAAGTTTTCCCGCTGTTGAACTGTGTTTCTTTACTCGTCTCCAGTTGCATTCACTTGTAAAGGGTAGAGAGGCTCACAATTTAATAGAAATGGCGTATAATATTTAGCACTTTTTCACAAAATCAATCGGACGTTTATTTTCTATAGATGTTTGGCAACGCACAATGAGGGCAATCGAATTAATCCGGTGACAGCTGCCGGTTGCCAAAATAAACAAACCTCGCGCAATATTTGAAAAGGGCCTGTCATCTTTTGTCAACAAAACTTTTAAGGACATTCTCGCGCGAAACGCAAACACCCCCGCATACCAAGGACACTACCGGGAAGGGGAAAATTTCCCCTACCCGATGGTGTTGTTATAGCGAATTTGTTTATTATTCAGTTCCAACCTGGATCGGGTATCAAGATTGGGTCTGCTTGTATTCTGACAAACGTCAGTTTGATCGTTTGTTTTTAAAACCTACCTCAGGTTGAGGTTCGCACTGACAAAAAGTTCGGTTTCGCACTGGGTTGGAACTGGTTCCAACCCCGATAATAAACAAATTCGCTATTAGTTTGCATAGGAGTACTTCGGTTCACGAGCAAAGATTGTAATACCATTGACAGACATACAAAGCAGTACCGTTGTACTCCTTTAATCGAGTACCTCAAAAGGTACAATTTGAGGTACAAGCTTAAAGAAATACAACGGTAGTACAACAGTGTACTTTGTATGTCTGTACAAGGTATAAGGGTTTTGCTCGGGGCTTTGTTTACACAAGTTGATGAGCCCTTTTCAAATGCTACGCGAAAACTGGACGCTGATGAACGTCACTTGTGCGGTGCGTTTAGTAGAGTGAACGTCACCGCCTGATGGCCAGGATAGCCAGAGGTGCAACAAAAGGGTCCGCTCGAATATTACGCGATATATGAATTGGAAGATTGCCGTAAAATCTCAACACAGATGTCGCCACTGCATGATGATGATAATGTTGACAGACTGCATATAAAATTCGTGAAAATTAGCGTTAAATCATAATTTTCATCAAGCCTTTGTAAAATCCTTCCAATATAACATTCGAATTGAAGAAGAAAACGTTTTCACGATCAGACTGATATGCATCTTTGACTTTTCCAGTTGAACTTTCATTAGATATATTCATTTCATTTCGCGGCTCCATCAATGCTGCATTGTAAATATGATGTAAACAGAAGTAAATTGCTCAATTACTCAAAATAAAGATGATTTGTATTCTTGTTATCACTTTGAAGACCATCTAGCACCATTTTATAGTATGGTGTGTGTTGAGTAAAGCAAGTTCCGCTGCGTTTTCCGTCGAAAATTGTGATTATCAATATGTTTGCTTAGAAAAGGCCAAAATGAACATTTATTTAATATTGGCGTCCTATACAACCAATTCTCCATTACGACCAGCATGATACAACCTTTCCTAAGTAAATTCACTTAATTTCTACTTTCATCTTAGTGGAAATCACACATATTCACCATTTTCCGAAAAATGCAGCTGCGCAGAAGGTAACCTCTTCCTGTGGGTGCAAACTTGTTATGCATTATTTTCCATGAAAACATCTCCGATCCATACCGGAATAATAGCAATTAGTTTTCAAACACGTTTTCTTACACGATTCAAGCAAAAGTTTCCACGGGAAATTATTAGTTTTTCTTAATGGACCGATTTGCCCCAAAAAGCGTCTGTTTTACTTGGAAAATTTGGAGCTATCCTCCTTCTAGTAGTTCTCACTTCGAAATGTAGGTGGCGAAAGCTTGGAAAAGTTTCACTGCAAGACGCCAATAAAAGACTCGCATTATAATTTCTCGCGTCACTTTTCAAATAGACCAATGTAACAAATGTAAACAAATCGAGTTAAGCGATACAAACTATTGCTCTTCTGTCATTTTATGTGATACAAAAACATCCATCCAAATTTACTTTCATTTATTTAAGATAATCATTGATCAAAAATTGTCCAATGTACAGTTTGAAATGATGGGTACATGATTGTTACTTCGGTCATTCGGACTGCCTAACATGATTGGTGCTCATTTTCCAAAGGCGGGGCCAATCTAAAGTTAGGTACTATACTCTGAAATCTGTGAAAGGGAATCTAGTATCATGTAGACAAAACGTCCAATGTAACAATCATTGATTATGTCATTGAGAAAAATCGTCCAATTTAACATGTCCGATGTACAACTCGACTTGTCAAAACGTCCTATGTAATTTTTTCTATGTTGTAGCATGAAATTCAAAGTAAAATTGTGATTTTACTGTTTCTTCTGAATTTTCAACGTTACTATATGCTGACTACATTAAAAATAGTAATGCAAAATGTATTGTTTTTAAACAGTTAAAATAATAATCTGTCGAACTTCAACTTCGATTTTCTCAAAATGGTGGATATGTTACATTGGTCTATTTGAAAAGTGACGCGAGATTTTATCATTTCCCAAGGGGTACGGCACTCTGCCACCTTGTGGCTGTTGATTATTGTGTTTCATGTGTGTTTTTGGGTGTCGGAAGGTGTTTCTGGGTGTTTCATCATGTTAACCGAGCAGTCAAAACTTCAACAGAAAAAAATATATTTACTGGTTACTCAACCAAAACAAAACTCTGAAAATTGCAGATCCTCCTGCGACTCCTTTAATGTTGTGCAGATGTGCTACAAGCAAAGAGGTAACTCTAAGACCAGAAGGTCCCGATGAAACTTGCTCAACTTGTTGACGCAGCTTTAGTACTCTCTTTGGTCCCAAGCTAATCGATGCACCCCTCAAAACATTCACGAGCCCCTCATTTTATCTGTCAAACTGTCATAGCGAATCAAAACAAACATAGTGTAGTACTAGAATTTCGACTATAATGGGGTACGTTAATCGATTTGCTTGGGACCAATAGGCTAGTCAAGTAGTGAGCCAATTGAAAATCGTTAGTTTCCACCGGTTGGTAGAACCATAGAGGTCAAACGGTCAAACCATAGAGGTAACTCTAAGACCACTGGGTCCCGAAGAAAATCATTATTATTTTTGGCTCACTCAGTACCAGAACAACGGTCCCAAGCAGTCCCAAGCTATTTCATTCACCCCTGCATGTTCTGCATGAATCCACACACCCCTGATGTTATCTGTCAAACTTTCATAGCGAATCAAAACAAACATAGTGTAGTAATAGAATTTCAACTAGAATAGAGTACGTTAATCGTTTGCTTGGGACCAATAGGCTACTAAAGTGGTGAGCCAATTTAAAATCGTTAGTTTCGTATTGATTGTTGGTCAAACCGTGATACATATTAAAAATTAAATGAGAGAACGGTTGGATAATTCTGACTCATTCAAGATTATCGATGAATAGCGGATGAAATCGAATCTTTACGAATCGGAGAAATCCACAAAAATCCAATTTATGATGGAAATTTTATTAAAATCCGTTAAATAAAATGTTGAATGGATTACTGTCGGCCCCCTCGCTTTCTTCTGATTGCTTAAGGAAAACTATTTAGGAGTGAATAGTTTACCAATCAAAGTTCAGAACAGGAAAATCATTGCCACGCCCATCTTCTCCGTTACGGGGAAAGGAAGGATATTGTTGATGTAACATCTACTTAACGGGAGCCCAGTGACTCACCGAGGCCCCCATAGATGCTACGGAGTTGGATAGTTTGGTATGAGATGGGTCAGGATTCGCTTAAGCAGGCAATGCGACCATAGTAATTGTTTTGTTCTCGAGGAGCTTCGGAGTAGACCCACGATCTTCTACTCAGTAAGCAAAAGCGGTAACTGCCAAGCTATCCGAGCTCCTAAGTTTAAATTCCAATCCTGTTTAAAATAAAATTCAACAAACAAAAAGGATCCAATTTACTCCAGCCATATGTGATAAAAACCCGGATGCTTTTTGGGGGCCACTTGGCCAGTTCTGAGGACTACTCCAACGACGGTCGATAGTCGTGGAGATTAATTCGCACTCGAGACGATTTATATCCTTCTGCAGTTAAACAAAAACTCGACAGTGAGCATGCATAAGGGCGTAAACGCGATAATCGATTCTCTTCGTTGATTTTCTCGTTTGTTAATAACTCGCTAGAATTAACGTTTCTCGCTGCGTTTGCTGTTGCTTTTGATAGGCAATACAACCTGTTACAACTCTTACTTACTTACTTAACGATCCTGCGCACCTCCAGGGGTGCAAAGGGCCTTTGTGAAAGATTTCCATCTTGGCATTCTCTGCTTGAACGTCAAGCAGTACAGTTCGGTCTTTGCTCGCTCTGTCGAGTTGTTCTAAAGTTTCTAGTTTGTTCCAAACATTCGCAGTTTAATCGCGTCGTCAGTAGTGTCGGTCGCTTCGTGTGATGGGAAGACAGCGCTCCCGGAGCAGGCTCCGAGAGAAAACGGAGAAGAAGAACAGCGGTGAGGGTAGCTTGAGTGTACCTATTTCGAATAGGTACGCTACTCTTCCCACCGATGTAGGGAATCCCACCTCAGCCACGGTGAAGCGGTCTAAGAAGAGGAAGAAAAATCAAGGCCAGTCCGATGGTGCGAGTGGACGGGACGATGCCACCGCGACGAACGTCAGCGTCATTGGTGATTTCGGCGACGCCGTCGACAACGAAACTGCTGCCAGCCCGAGTGCAGCAAAAATGAAGCTTCCTCCACTGGTGGTGAAGCAAGTCCCACTCAACACGCTGATTGGCGATCTTTCATCGCTGGGCGTTGCAGCTGAGTTTAAGCTCGGCAGGATCGGCACCAAGGTGATGCTCCGAACAAAAGCGGAGTACGAAGTGGCCGTGAAATATCTGAAGGATACCAAGGCGGAATTCTTCACGCACGACATCCCCGGTGAGAAGCCCTTCAAGGTAGTCATCAGGGGTCTACCAAACTTCGACCCCAAGATGGTCGAAGCTGAAATCAACCGGTACAAGCTTGCCCCAATCGCTGTCTTCCGAATGACAAGGAGAGACGAAAACGTGAAGACGTACCCGGATTGTCTTTTCCTGGTGCACTTCCAGAAAGGGATGGTGACGCTCAATGCGCTACAAGCCATCCGATCGATCTACTCCATCATCGTACGGTGGGAGCCATACCGTGGCGGTCATCGTGACGTAACGCAGTGCCAGCGGTGCCTCAATTTTGGACACGGTACCCGCAACTGCAACA